ACCAAAGCCATGCCATTTTCAACTGCCTCATACGCATGCGAAAGCTCGACAATGGATGGGAAGACTGAAGAAGAATCAGTGCGTCTGAATGATGGTGCTGGTGAAGAATTTTGGGGTACCATGGACTGCCAAAAGAACAAACAAATCTGTCTTGGAAGAAGTACAGCAGAGTGCTCCTTAGAAGCAATGATGGTGAGATTCTGCTGATAGGGGGCCACCTGAAGAATCAGTTACTAATTTATGATTGAAATATAATGTGGCTAAGAGAATTATAATCTTTGTTTAGATCTAACTTAGCTAGAAATCCTCCATAGCTGTGACCTTCTGCCTTGTCTCACGGAGTGTCCTGTGACAGTGTCCAGGCTTCCTCCCTCCCTCACTAAGGGCCAGGACCTGCAGACCTGCCCGTCTCCTTGAGATTTAGGGTCCCTAAGTCATAGAAGCTCTGGAACACAAGGTCTGTGTTAGAACAAAACCTTGTTTTCCTAGCTTATACCTGTCCTTCCAAGATGTGTGTCTGTCTGAAGAACCACTTCACTCTGCCTGTGTATCTGTCCTGTGTCTAACCCTGTTCTAACACAGGGTTGGGGAGACCGGCATTTGGAGGAAGGATCTCCTACCTTACCCCACTCCGTTCTCCTTTCTCATGCATGTGAAAAATAAAACTTAAAATCTTTCAAATCCAAATGGATTCTGGTCGAATCTTTCTGGTTTCTGAAATCTGGGAATGGTGACTGCGTAATGGGGCCCTCTTGGTGCCCACCTTGTTGCAGCCCTGTCTCACATACGTTGGACATGTCCCTGATAAGGAACATCACTTTTGATGAAGAAGAAGGGCGGTGAAAAAGAGGAAGACCCATGAAAACATGGGTTGGCGCCGTGGCTGCGACAGGGGGCTCCAACATCACAGTCATTGTGAGGACAACACGGGACCCCATTGCTTGTTACCAAATCTTCCTCTCATCCTGATGATGTGCTCGTCTTCACATAGCTCAGCTTCTCATGTTAGTTCCTGAGCATACTGACTGAACAAGCATGCTGAGAGGCTAGAACCCGACACCCAGCTTTTCTGGTTTTAAACCCTGTAGGCGGCAACAATGAGCTCTGGCATAGGACTGGGCTGTGCCTTCTTCTGCTGAGCACCAGGCTGTTATGGGCCAGAACCCGCTCAGTGGCATCGATCAGCAACAAAAACAACAGTTCTCCCTTGTGCGGTTCACACAGCGGCCTAATCCAGGCACAGGTTTGCGATGGGTATTTAAGAAACAGATGAAGGAAATATAAGAGATCATACAAATGCCGCGGAGCCGGCCCCAATCCCAGCTTCGTGGACGTTCCCCTCTTCCAGAAGAATTTACTTCAGAGCATGGCACTGAAGCTGCAGCTCTGGGAGAGGGACGTGTCTGATCAGAGCACATGGGAGCAAATGAAGGGGGAGGAAGAGGGAGTGGAGCACATGCTGGCCCACCAGGCCTGGAGGACGATATTCCCATTCAAAGCAGCGAATGCACAAAGAGGACCATATGGCCGGCCCCACTACAAGACATGACATCCCTCACTGACCCATAGCCCTACAGGGGATAATACTGTGACACGACATCTCTCACTGACCCGTAGCCCTACAGGGGACAATACTGTGTCAAGCACATTTGTACATTTGTTGTCTAGGCTTAGTCTCTAAGAACTTTTAGGTAATCTACTGATATCAAAGTGACTAAAATAGAAATTCATTACAATTGTAACAAAAAACTCTTAGTATGTGAAATTTTGCCCCTTAAAGGATCGTACTAAAAAAAAGTTATGCTATATGAGATCTATAACAAGGCAAGAAATGGAAAAGATTTATTAGAAGAGAATGTATTTAGTCAAAGTTCTTATTTGCTGCAGTTAAAACGTATAGGCTAATTTATGAGAATTTTAAAGTATTAAAGTCAAATAACAAAGAATTCAACTTCTCACTGTTAAGATCACAACATTTTCTTTAATTCCATTTCAGATCACCAGGGCAGCAGTTACCCGAGGACAGAGTTCACAGGGTTAGGAAACAGGGAAGGGGGAGGGATCATAAAATGAGTAGAATCAGAATGAGTATAAATTGTTGTGTCTGTAAAACTATGATCTGCTTGGTAAACCTTCAGCTAATTTCCAATTAAAAGTTTTTGTCAATGATCATTTTCTTTAATTTCTAGATCAAAGAGTTCATTTTATTCTTTGTGCAATGTGCCCTGAAGGCAAATTGATCGTTTTCTTTAATTTCTAGATTGAAGAGTTCATTTTATTCTTTGTGCAATGTGCCCTGAAGGCAAGTGTTAGACAGAATGCAATCCTGAGTGGACACTGAGGCACTTGACTTTAGAAAAAGCTAAGGACCCATGGAGACACAGTAGACTGGGGGATCCTGGGGGTGGGGAGAGGGGTGCACAGTGGGAGAGGGAGGGTAGGTAAAAGGTGAGGCACTCCAGAAGGAAGAGAATGTTTTGGAACTGGTGGTGATAGCAATTGTACAATACCGCTTGATGTGCTTGAAGTGTGGAATGATAGGATATCAGTATTAGCTCCCAATAAAATGGTTTTTCGGGTGGAAATAGCTAAGATTTTACCTTTACGATCTTTGGTTAACTAATTCAAGTATTATTTCTTAAGAACCTGTGATAAACTCCTGATTGCTTCGAGACTTTGTAGAAAACCACCTGAGAACTAAGTGGAAAGCTGCATCAGAGCCTGAAAAAGCAAGAAAATAAAATGGGTATAAAACGAGACCTCTGCGAAGCAGGAGCAGGGGCTCTCCCTACCAGCAGGCACCTGGCGTAGACTGCATCCTCTGGACTCAGAGCTCTCTGTGCAGTGAGCCTCCTCCATTAAGAACACAGCCATGACATCAGAGGAACAGCAGCAGAACCAGGAGCCGGAGCACGAAACAGAGTGGTGAACTTCTCAGTCCACCAAGTAAAGCTGAGTGCTTCTGCACAGGAGGCTGGCTTGTGGAGTAGGGTGCCTCTGAGCACTTAATTGGGGGAGCTGGCTTGTTGACCCAAGGAGCTGTAAGCTTTTGGGTTGATGCTTACAGCACAGTGGCATGCCCTTTGGTTATGTCTTAGCAGCCCTGGAATAACTTTGTAACATGTGGTCATGGACAACTGTACCTTGAGCTTTTATTACTTGCTTTACACCCTATTAACTTCCTTAATAAATCCCTTAATAATGAATACTGTCTGTGAGTTCTGTCTGCGTAGCCATAGCAACAAATATTGGCAGCGAGAGGAAAAGCGGAGCACAGGAAAAGGAGACAGTGTCATGTTGAGACAACTCAGGGCCCTTCTGGTCCCATTGCTAAATTCAATTTTTATCCAAATCTCCCTATGTTTTGGGATTGATGTTCGCACAACTAAGAGAACAGATTGTCTCGGTACATGTGGAAGAAACTCCTGTGCTGAACTAGAGAGTTCAGACAAATTAAGGTTAAGATGATTGTCCATTTGTAATAATTCTTTAATTAAAAAATGACTTGAGCAATTAAACCACCCCCTTTGCACACTTACAAAGAAATATAATTTATATGTTTTATGACTAAAAGATGGGACTTTCTACTCCCGTAAAGAGTTACAGTCTCAGAAACTCACAGGGGCAGTTCCACCGTGTCCTATAGGATCACTATGAGCTGGAATCGACTCAATGGCGGTGTATTTGTGTGTTTGTTTTTGGTATGTATACATATTTGTGTGTGTGTGATCAAATTATTCCATAATAAAATAACCAACCCCTATGATAAACCTTATGTCTAGGCACCACCGTGTTGAAGTGACTGGAACGTGGCAGGTCGGTGTACTTTAAGGGTCCCTGTGGGCAAGGAGAGTAAACACAAGATTAATGACCAATAACGTATCCATCCTCACCATCTAAAACAAGATACAGACCCTTTGCAGTAAGTCGATGAAATGCCAGAACCCTGTAACTGAACAATCTGGATTAGGACAAGCATTTCGTCACGTCCTTCTGCCCTAGCACTTTCTCTGCTCTGACTCAAATTGTAGATAATACTGCAGACGGGATATCAACTCAACCGAACTCTCTAGGCTCCCTTGCTAAAATTGCACTGATAGAATAACTTTTGATATTATTTTGTTCAACCAAGAATTGTTTGTGTCATTGCTTAAAACCACTTGACAAGATATTAAGAAGAACTGCCAAAAGGCTATTTGTTTGCATCCAATGCCCCCTAATTTTCCCTTTATACCTTTTTAAACATCTGGTTGCTCACCATGAAACATACAACTTTCCTCTAGTTCTTAAATGCTTCCTCCTCCCACTATCAAGATCCCAATTCTACCTTGCAAATCTGGCTAGACCAGAGCATGTACACTGGTACAGATAGGAACTGGAAGCACAGGGAATCCAGGGTGGATGATCCCTTCAGGACCAGTGGTGAGAGTGGCAATACTGAGAGGGTGGAGGGAAGGAGGGGTAGAAAGGGGAAACCGATTACAAGGATCTACATATAACCTCCTCCCTGGGAGATGGACAACAGAAAAGAGGGTGAAGGGAGATGTCGGACAGTGTAAGACATGACAAAATAATAATTTATAAATTATCAAGGGTTCATGAGGGAGAGGGGAGTGGGGAGGGAGGGGGAAAAATGAGCTGATACCAAGGGCTCAAGTAGAAAGAAAATGTTTTGAGAATGAGGATGGCAACAAATGTACAAATGTGCTTGACACAATGGATGTATGTGTCGATTGTGATAAGAATTGTATGAGCCCCCAATATAATGATATAAAAAATATCTGGTTGCTCAATAGTCTTGGTTCTTAGCTGTGCTCCGTAGTGTTAACTGGATTCTTTTTAACTGTTTTATTGATTGTCTTTAGACTGGTCAATGCCTCATGAAATGATCGTGGCAAGACTCACTTGCTGTGCAAAGACTCGTGTGTCTCGAAGAGGCTGTGAGCCCATCCTGCCCAGCAAGCAGCCCCCTTTCACTCCCTTTCCTTCTTTCCCTCTAGAGCACTGCCAGATCCATTCCTGTGTCTTTAATCGCTTGTAGGTAAGTCAAGCCGGGTGCATGCAATTCTTCTTTAGCTCTCGTTTAGTGTAGAGGTTCCCAAACTTATTTGGCCTACTGTCCCATTTTCAGAAAGTAAAAGAAAAAAAAAAGAAAAACATGACTCAGCAAACTGCTGGTTACGAAGAACCTTTGCACTATAGGCCATAATCCAGGAGATTGTGAGCGTCTGCCTTTGCAGCCGCCCTGGCGTCAGTACAGCACCCCCTCGAGGGTATTGCTGTATTGCCCACTTTGGGAAACAGGGACTTAATGCAAGAAAGGGTGATTGAGGGGATGAACAATTTGGTTCTTTCAATTGTTTCAAAACTAGGGCAAATGTATGTCACTTTAAAGCGTAAGTAGAAAGTGTCCATAATTTGGATGCTTGTCATCTGGGCACTGCCTGTATTACGTTACCATTTATGATTTAGGATTGATCTAAAGTGTTCTTCAAACGTCACCGTGTCTAATATCTTGTGAGAACTAACCCGACACCCCCTGAAGACAAGTCCTGTTAGGATGGCAAGGTGCGGTGATAGCCTCTTAGGAAAAGCCATACACAAGTCCTTCCAGGACACAGGGGAGTCTATTGTAAGTGATGTACTCAGCACCTTCTAGTAAAGCCTGAGCAAAAGGGAGGAATGCGCTAGGAGACTGGAACAATGGGGGGTGGGGGCGCGTCAGACCAATTTCATCGAAGCAGCTAATCTGCTCTGTGAGAGAACAGAGGAGTGGGGCAAAAGTGTGGCTGCTCTCAGAAAGAATGCTTCTGCACACAATGGCTGTCATTGGAAACAGGGACACAAATGCTTGCCACAAACTGCCTCCAGGACGTCTGTAGATGGACTGACATATGACTTACGGTTGCTAATGTGTGACTAAAGGTTCCCGTTCTCTTAGACTCTTCCTATATAAAAAGCACTGTTTGATTGCTCACTAATGAAGAGGTGCATCACCTGAGTTGTGCTTGAGGAACCCTGGTGGGGTAGTGAGTTACTCATTGGGCTGCGAACCGCAGAGCCAGCTGTTTGAAACCACCAGTCACTCCACGGGAGAAAGACGAGGCTCTCTACTCCCATAAACATCTCAGAAACCCACAGGGGCAGTTCTACCCCATCCCACAGAATCAAAACCCTTTTTCAAATGCACAATTTCTTAGAGGGATGGCAAACTCAATAAGCAAGGCAAGCACAGTCTTACTTGTGCTTATTTACTGATCTGCAGTGGAGAATTTTACAAATTATTCATTGGATAATCAGCCCTGATACAATTCTCTTTCTTTCTTTTTTTAAATCATTTTATTGGGAGCTAGTACAACTCTTATCACAGGCCATCCATCCATCCATTGTCAAGCACAGTTGTACATTTGTTTCCCTCATCATTCTCAAAACATTTTCTTTCCACTTGAGCCCTTGGTATCAGCTCTGCATTTTACCCCCTCCCTCCAATTCCCTTTCATTTTCTTTACTTTGGGGCACTTCTGTATTATTCCTGATAGACTAGAGAAACAAATTCACAGACACTCACATGTGTATAAGACAGAGCTTTATATACAAGAGCAATTGAGAAAACATCCCGGCCCAGTCGAGATCAGGTCCATAAGTCTCTAAGATATTAGCCAGTATGTCTGATCCCAATCTATAAATTCCTCTTTAGACTCACAAAATACATGCAATGATGCCGAATGCAGGAAGCTCACAGACCAGTGGGTGGAAAGTCTTGTGGATCCTGTGGTGGTAGAGGCATCTCAATGCTGGCAGGGGTCTCCATGTGGCTCCTTCAGCTCTAGGGCTCTAGTGTAGCTCCATGTGTCTTGTCAACAGCATTTCTCGCAGGGAGTGAGCATGTGTCCCTCCTCCAGGAGCCTCCATGGCACCTCCAGATGGGGTCATCAAGCTGCGACCTGATTGACAGGCTTACCTCTACCCCCTTCACTCTTAAATTGACAACAGATTATGTAACTACCACAACTACTGGCTATGTGCAACCCAACTGCAGTTATTATTCCATTCTTCAACAAAACTCCTTTTGCTCAAAACTATGTGCGATTGTGTTTTTAACATCAATATATTCTATAATGCCCGAATCCTAGTTTTCCTTTGCAATAGCCACCAGAAGGCAGGACCCAGGTTAAAGGATGACATGAGAAGCTGGGGAAATTACTACTGTAAGTCAAAGCAGATGTCCCTCAATGATGCTGAGATCTATTTTTCTCCTCTAGGATTCATCTGCAAGTATTACCGCTTATCACTGTTTTAAATCAGAAATACAGTGAACCCTCGCCACTTCGCGCTTCGACTTCCGGGGCTTCACTCTATCGCGGTTTTTGCGTAACAGCGCATGCTCTGTCATTACTGCCACTGATTGGCTCATACTGTACACACTTGATGCCATAAATAATATAATAAATAATAAATGATAATTGTAACGTCCAAAATGTTTTACTGTATTTTCCCTTTTTCATTTAATAAATTGGGTAATACGAGTGTAATGGTGACTAAAGGGTGTTTTTTCATGTCCTCTATGCTCTAACTACGAAAATATTTGATTTACAAATAAGGAATCCTACTTCGCGGAATTTCATTTATCACGGTAGGGTCTAGAACCGATAAACCACGATAAACGAGGGTTCACTGTACACCATTCTATATATGTATTGAAATTTCTTTATTAGGCATACTTCTTACTAAGATGATCCGAAATCTCAGGTGGGGAGCAAAGGTGACATCTATGTACACATGGCCAAATCCACCGGAAGGTCTCTAAGAGGGGATGGTGTATTTTTATACCATAAGACTCACAACCATATCTTTCAGAGTATTCAAGCGTCATACCACAGATGGTTTTTCTTTTAGTGCAAACAAGTCCCCTGTAATACTTAGGACATATGCATCCTAAAAAGTTATTCATGGTTTACTTAACATTCTAATTTGACTGGGCATCATTTATTTCGATTTACAACATCTAGTGACCCTAAAGAGTGCACACGATCTTCAGCTGCACCTGTCTTCCTGGTTCTTTGACACAACCATTTAGGGATCAGAGAGAGCCCTGGTAGCACAGTGATTAAGCGCTGGGCTTCAAACTGAAAGGTGGGGCAGTTAGAACCTGTTAGCTGCCTGGCGCAGAGATGTGGCAGTCAGCTTCCATAAAGACTTGTAGCCCTGGAAACCCTATGGGAGAGTTCCACTCGGTCCTTTCGGGTTGCTGAGGGGCAGTGGATTTGGGCATGGGTTTGGCTTGGTTGGGTAAACCTCAAGTATGGTCAGAGTGCTCCTTAGAGGCAAGGATAGTGAGACATGGTCTTCTGTACTTGGATATATTCTCAGGAGAGACCAGTCCCCGGAGGACATCATGATTGGTAAAGTGGAGGGGAAGCAAACGGGAGTCTTCTACGAGATGGATTGACACAGTGGCTGCAACAAAGGGCTCAGGCACAGGAACATTTGCAAGGATGGTTCAGGAGCGGGCAGTGTTTCCTTCTGCTGTGCATAGGGTCACTATGGGTTAGCACTGGCTCCACGGCCCCTAACAGCACAACAAACAGGTGACTAGTCTCCCCTTAGTAGTAAAGCTGGTTAATACATATCTTTTTAATACCTCAATTCCTATTAAAACACTACCAAGTGAATAAGCAAATGTGGTGAAGAAAGCTGATGGTGCCTGGCTATCAAAAGATATAGCGTCTGGGGTCTTAAAAGCTTGAAGGTAAACAAGCGGCCATCTAGCTCAGAAGCAACAAAGCCCACATGGAACAATATATCAACCTGTGTGATCACGGGGTGTCGAACGGATCACTGAAGACAAATGGGTGCATAAGCAAATGTGGCGAAGAAAGCTGATGGTGCCCGGCTATCAATAAGTATAGCGTCTGGGGTCTTAAAGGCTTGAAGGTAATCAAGCGGCCATCAAGCTCAGAAGCAACAAAGCCCACATGGAAGAAGCACACCAGCCTATGCAACCACGAGGTGTTGAAGGGATCAGGTGTAAGGCATCATCAGAACAAAAAATCTTACCATAGTGAATGATGGGGGGAGTGCGGAGTGGAGATCCAAAGCCCATTAGTAGGCCACTAGAGATCCCCTTGCAGAGGGGTCTCGGGGAGGAGATGAGCCAGTCAGGGTGCGATGTAACAATGATGAGAAATACAACTTTCCTCTAGTTCCTAAATGTTTCCTCCCCGCTCCCACTACCATGACTCGAATGTGATCTTGCAAGTCTGGCTAGACCAGAGGAGGTACACTGGTACTGATAGGAACTGAAAAGATAGGGAATCCAGGACGGATGAGCCCTATAGGACCAGTGGTGTGAGTGGCAAAACAGGGAGGGTAAAGGGAGAATGGGTAGGAAAGGGGGAACCGATTACATGGAACTGTGTGTGACCTCCTCCCTGGGGGACAGACAACTGAAAAGTGGATGAAGGGAGACGTCGGACAGGGCAAGATATAACAAAATACCCATTTATAAACTATCAAGGGCTCATGTGGGAGGGGGGAGCAGGGAGGGAGGGGAAAAATGAGGACCTAATGTCGGGGGGTTAAATGGAGAGAAAATGTTTTGAGAAACGATGTACAAATGCGCTTTACACAATTGATGTGTATATGGATTGGGATAACAGTTTTATGAGCCCCTAATAAAATGTTAACAAAAATTTTAAAACAACAACAAAAAAAACCACTACCAAGTGTTTACAAAGTTAACCAAAAGATTGTCCCTGCTCTCACAGAGCTTACATGTTTCCCAAACCCAAACTCACTGCCATTGAGTTCATTCCGACTCTCGGTGACCCTAGTGGGCAGCCCAGAGCAGGAATCCCACTGTGGATTTCTGAAGCGTTCTTTACAAGAGCAGAGAGCCTCGTCTTTCTGTGTTTGAATCACAGGTCAGCAGCTCAACTGTAAACTATGAGGGGGACAATCTAGGCACATGTCCTAACATCCCTTCTGAGGGACCTGCTGGATGCAGGTACTGCAGGGCACAAAGATGACCTCTCTGTGCACGTGACTTCAGTTCTTGGAAATCTCAGCGGGTCTGATGTACTTTGTGAAATTCACAGTCTTCTTTTTCCAGAAGCAAAACTCCCTCCTATTGGAAGCATTAAAAAATTTTGGAATAGACAAGAATCAAATATACAAAACTGTACTGTCATATATTTTACATTTTAATTTTTATTTATTTAATTTTGGTATACCGTTTTTCTTAATACTTCTTTTTCTTATTAATCATTTTATTGGGAGCTCTTACAGCTATCATAACATTCCAAGTTCAATCACATCAAGCAGTATTGTACGATTGCTACCACAATACGGTTGAAAACATTTTCTTTCTTCTTGAACTCCTTGATATCAGCTCCCCTTTATCCCCTCCTTCTTGCACAATACCCTCCAGGAACCCTTTTGCTTTTCTTTTTTTGGGGGCGTATCTTACACCTTCCAATATATCCATTCACATACACTTCTGTTGTTTCTTTTGAGTGGGGTTATATAGTCATCAATGCTATCGGCTCCCCCCCCCTCCTTTGCCCCCCTCTCTTCTCATACCCTCAGGGAACCATTACTTCTGTTACTGTTTCTGAAGGGTTATCTATTTTGGCTTTCGTGTATGGAACAATCTTAATTATACAAATGGACAGATGCAAATCTAACATGATCAATGAAGTAAAACAAATAAAAACCATAATAGTAAGGGGAAGAAATATTAAAGAACTAGAGGATAGTTATGTGCTTCATCAGTGCTATACCACACCTTGGATTTATCATCCCTTCCATGTGGCCCTTCTGAGAAGGACTGTCCAATTGTCTTAAAGGTGGGTTTGGGGTCACCACTACATCCACACCCCTTCACATTGATTTGTTTGCTTGTGTTTGAACTTCTGATACCTATTCCCATCAACACCTCATGATCACACAGGCTGGTGTGCTTCTTCCATGTGGGCTTTGTTGCTTCCCTGGTAGATGGTAGCATGTTTCATTACAATCCTTTAAGATCCCAGACAGGTGGGGCAGGAGGAAAGAAAAACAAGGAAAGAAGAAAAAAATATCTATATAGGTGTATAGATATGTAAATATATAAATATAGGTGTATTTATATATGTATATACAACAAAAAAGCAGATGATCTTTGGTATTTAAATCTTACTCAGTACAAGAACGTTTTTTCCCCAATAATGTGGCAATTTATGATGCTCACTTTCCTGACATGATTGCTGAAGACAAAATGGGTGCATAAGTAAATGTGGTGAAGAAAGCTGATGATGCCCGGCTACTATCATATATTTTAGATCTTTAAGCACCAATTCCAACTTTTTGGAAAAGTCGACTGAGTTAGTTAATTGTGCCAGCCTGGCCGATAATCACATGTGGTGCTGGTTGAAAGGCGGAGGGATAAATGGGTGGTGAAGCCTCGCCTTTCTAGTTCTCGGGTGTCTTGTTTTGTGATGGTTGCATCGGGTGCAGCTGCCTCAGCAGTTCCCTGCTTCACTTGCAAGATTGACTTCCTACAAGACATCCCAAGGAGAAGCCGCATGGATCTATCCCGATGCTGCCCTGGGTGCTGGAGCAGCCGTGTGGAGACCCCTGCCAGTGCTGAGATGCTTACACGTTCACTGACTCAGCTTTCCTCCTGCAGTCGGCACCATTGCCTTTGTTTCGTGAGGTGAAGGACTTTGTGGACTGGTGTTGGGTATGGGTTAATGTTGGACTTGTGGGCTTGGGCAGCATTGGGTTGGGATATTTTCGTGATGCACATTTTCTTTGCATAAAACTCTCTCTTATACATGAGTTGCTGTGGATTTGTTTCTCCAAAGTACCCAGACTAATACAGTCGACCATCATCCTACCAGAAAAGCATCTCGATTCACTCAATTTCCTCTCAGCTTCTTCCTCTGCAAGGGTCTCAGAAAACTTTCGTACAAGGAGAGGTAAGTTGTTAGAAGTTTAAAACTAGTGAGTGGTATACTTTTTCTATTTCCTCTCTCTTCCCAATTCCTTTTTTTTCGGAGAGTGGGGATTGGGAAGTGTCGGAATATCTGCCAATGTTTTCCTCCATCCTCATCATGACTTACTAATTCTTCATCCACGTGACCTCCTAGAATGAGTGCCCCAGGTAGAGAGAAAACCACAGCAAGGGGTGGGACGGGGGTTGGGGGGAGATGGTATATCCTTTGCATGAAAGACAGCATCAACTTCTCTCCTTACCTTTCTCAGCTCAGGGGAAAAGCTACCATTCTCCCATCAATAGAAATACTGCCGCCTACATAGCCACGTCACTGATGCGGCCCAGCCCACAAGGCCCATGATTCTGTGATCAGCAGGGAAGCTCAAGAACAAAGGAGGTGAGGAAATAAGTGATGTCACTGTGGTAGTTACATAATTTTTGTGCTAACTTGTGTATATAAAAGTGTAGGGGTGGAGTTGGCCTGTCAATCAGGTCACAGCCTGATGATACCTCCTGGTGGGCGTGGCTTTCTCATAAGGAGGTTCCTGGGAACTTCTGCCTTCACCTTCATGCTGGAAAGCCTCACTGAGACCTGCTCCCACCTGCTCAGCTCTTCCTGCATCATTGCATGTGGCTGTGTGAGTCTGAAGAGGGATTTATGGACTACTATCAGACTTATGGACTTGATGTGGAACTGAGCTGGGATGTTTGCTTGACATATAATTACTTCTTGACATAAAGTTCTCTCTCACACGTCAATGAATTTGTTTCTCTAGTCTACTCAGCCTAACACAATTTCCGTCACTATGCTTAGCAGCATTTCCTGGGCATCAGAAATACGTTTATTGTGTGCTTCCTTGTCTCTTTTGAAGTAGAACTTAGGGATGCTCATTAAAAACAAGTTTGGAAAGGCTCCTGGAGCGAATGTAAGTTGTGCTTAGTTTTTGACTCGTCTGTCTAGGATAACAGGTAAGATGGACTTACAGGTGATTGAGGACCCTCTTTAGAAAGACCTTTTCCTTGGGGCGGTGGGAGCAATTGTGAAAGGCAAGCAGTTTAGTTTATTTCAAGAAGGGAAGTACCATCAAATTCCATTACAAACTTGCATTTTGCGGCAGGGCAGCTCAGGCAGAACACTCAGTGTGGGGCCCTGGGGCAGCCAGGCAGCACCTTACTTTTGAAGGCATCAGCTGCAGCACTTCTGGTGTGTATACAGTAAGAAATACGCCAACACTTTTAAATTCGATGTTTATTCTGTAAAACGGTCTACAACAGTAGAGTTTATGTAATATAAAAAAAGATAAATACCCACTCTTCACCGAAGGAGGTGGCTCGGTTCCAAAGACCAGGTCACTCTGCAGGACTAGCATTAAGTGAACATGAAGACGAAGGATGACCACTTATGCTAACTGGCAAACCAGGGAGAATCGTGGTCCGGCCCCGCTGGCACATACTCTTAACCATCGGGTTCAGTGTTACTGTTACCTCACACTGCAGTGTTTGCCACTATCAGACACAGTGCATCATCTAACTTGCAAAATAACCAACAAGATAGGCGGTAAGTAGGAGGTAGACATTATTGCACAAAAACACTGAAAACATGGTCATGTCCCTCCACAGCCTAATAAAACACACAGACACCATCAGAAACAACCTTCTTGACCCAAATTGTAGATTTCATCCAATATTTATGATCTGAACATTGATGTGCAAGGCACTGGATAATCAATGTAGCTACTACACATCCAGTAAGGAAGAAAATGGTGTCCCTGCTGGGTGGAGCTTACATTCTAGTTCTAGTGGGAGAAGATACCTCCCAAACAAGACAAACAAACAAATACCTTACATGTCAAGTAGTTGCAGGGTTGGGGTGGGCGAGAAGCAAGCTTCCAGGCCACAGCTTGGGAAATGACCACAAGAAATAAAGACTCAGACTCATTTCCACTGAGTCAATCCCAACCCACAGTGCCCCAAAGGGCAGAGATCTGGTTTCCAAGGTGCCATCTCCATGAAAACAGAGTGGCCCGTCTTCCTTCCATGGAGTGCCATGGTAGGTCACACATTTAACCTCTGTGCAACTCATTTGGGGAAATGATGCAAGTGCGAAAATATATATATATATATATATATCTTTTTTTCTTGCTAAATTATATTTTAAAAGTAAGTTTATGGGTTATAAATATCTGATTAGCCTCTCAACTTCATAGTTTTGAGTAGGCGTTCTAATTAGAATCTTGACTAATAAGTTCTTTTTGGCCACACAAATTAGGTCCCTAGAGTATATTCAAGGGAGCCCTGGTGGCATAGTGCTTATGTGTTGGGCTGCTAACCTCAAGATCAGCAGTTTGAAACCACCAGCTGCTCCTCAGGGGAAAGACGGGACTTTCTACTCCCGTAAAGAGCTACAGCCTTGGCAACCCAGAGAGGCAGTCCTACCCTGTCCTAGAGGGTTGTCATATGTTGGAATTGACACTAGGTAGTGAATGAGAGTGACTATATTCTTATATGGGTGTGTTATGTGTTGACAGAGCTATGCTCCTGTTTTTATATATGAAAACCCTTCAAAAAGGTCATGGAAAAATGGAATTAAAGATTATAGAATTCTTCCACAAAGTTTTTGAAGACCCTTGGTTATGTAAGACCAACCCAGAAAATCTGCTTTAAACCCAAACCAACACTCATGGGATTCTCCCGTAGAGAACTGAGTCTCAGATGAGACCCTTGGGTCCCTTTACTCCCCATTACACTCAGCTCAAATAACGCGGGAGCTTGAGCTGCAGGTCTGGAATGGTGCCAGTAGGAGGGCTCTCCTGCAGGGAACATGCTGAGAGTCATAGCCGTTTCTCGAGAAGCAGCTTCCAGCTAACCCAGATGAACCTGCTACCCCAGTGCAGACTACTGAAGACACAGGAACAGGCACTCTCCAGTATGTTTTCTGCAACTGGACCTCCTTTTTCCTCCCTGGTCCACAGAGTAACAGCTCATTAGCATTATGCCCTAGAGGCCACTTCCTTTGTTCGAAAGCAGTCCATAGGAAATCCCAAATCTCGAGGAATTAAAATAAGCTATAGAATGCCTTTGGAGAGCATTATTTGTATTTTTAACAGATAGGTACTTTGTTCCAAGTTCCATGGTTTCCCCCCGTCAGCATTTTCTGGCCCCAAAGGTCTTTACAGAAGCTAGGGCTTCCCTCTGCATGCTCCCAACCTCACAAAAATCATGTTTCTCATCAGATCAGCACCCATTTTCCTTTAACTTTAGTGACTGCAAACTCTCATCATGTGATCGGCTTAATGAATCAGCTATCGATCAGGAAGTCTGGATGTGCGGCAGAGACTCTTGGCTTTCATCCTAAGCCACGGGACGGGTAGGTAACTGCGATACAAGGCCAATGGTCCTAGAGGGAAGTGGCTAGAACGACCCTGCAATTTTTGTTGATCTTTCTGGCATCTGGTGCCATTTTCTAGAGTAACTCCTTCAAGGCCTACCTCTGAGAGAAAAGACCCAATGTTCCTGATGTCCCTTGGGAATGTGAGGAAGTATATGTAATACTGGGAGTGGGGGATCAACAGAAGGCACATGCAGTAACCAGCATTCTCTGAAAGTTCAAACCCAAATCGCAGCTGGCGAGGAGATTGACTCACATAGCCATCCAGGGGAGGGTAGAACTTCCCCAAAGGGTTTCGACGGCAGTACACCTATAGGGAGAACCATCATTCTTCTGTGGAGCGGCTGTGGGTGTGAGCCACCCTCTCTGAGATAGCAGCAGGGTGCTCAGTTACCTCCTGGCCGGAGCACAGAGAGATCCCGTTCCACAAGTACAGTTAGCCAAGGGAAGCTGAGGATACATTAGCAAGGGAGTTGGCCACCTTCCTGACTCAGTGTAGTTCATCAAAGGCAGGGCCAAGGACAAGTAGTCTCTCAAGACCTTAGAGGTGGAAAGGAAGGTGGTTAAAATGTCCTCCAAACTTCTGTATTTGCATCTTCAGACAGTTCAGTGCTGATCTGTAGTTTTAGGACCTCTGACTTGAAGATTTTTCTCTTCTTCCCCAACAAGCAAACATCCACTTGTTAGTGACTGAGAAAAAGCAAGTCACTCAGCCCCCCGAAAAACTCCCACCAACTTTCCTACGACGTGAGCACTGGTTTCCAGTCACACGATCGCCTGCTGCAATTCTCCACTTGTGCTACTGCCGCTGTTTTCGTCCTCGTTAGAATAGTTCCCTGAATCTCGACTCGTTTGGGAATTGTACTTTTTGTGATCTTCGTCCATTTGATTGGTTTCTTCTTCTGTGGGGGGAAGAGGGTTCACCCTTTCAATGATGAAACATCTCTCGGTTTGTTCCTCAGACGCCAAAAGGAGCAGGTTCTTCAGCGAATGTTCTGATAAATACTGATTTACAACAGGAAAGAACAGAAACAGATGACTTAAGATAATACAAGTTCAACTCCTAGTTCTAACAGCTCTTCGTTTCTCATGCTCCTTATTTAGAAGACCTCCTTTCGGCGTGCAGAGTGAAAAGTCAGCTAAGAGCTGACCGACCACGTTACAATGTGGAAAATCAACGACTGTCAGGTCACGGACATAACAGTCTCTTCACGTGGGCATCTATGAAAGGCACGCTGTGCCGTCGGGGTGGGAGGTGGAAGAGCCTGACAAGAGGAGGGAGCGGAGGGAGCCCTGAGACAGCAGGAAGTGTAGGAGGACTTTATCCCATTCTCAGATATCTAGCAGAAAGGAGCGATAGGTTAGCTGGTTTGTTAAGAAGAATCACGTAGCTGTTGCAGCCAGCCGCTCTCCAGCCCGTTTGGGGCCATAGCCATGCAGAGTGCGAGTGGGCGGGAGTGCTGCGTAAAACTCAGGGGTGTGAGCACTCTCTCTAACTGTGAACCTCCGCTGTGACAAATGTGGAGCGTATGGAGCCGTGAAGTCACCACAAATGGGGTGGGGGGGCCTCGGCAGCAACTCTGGGGTTTCACTGCCCCGACACAAACTCTTCATTGATGCCGCAGAGCGTGTCCAATTCCCAGCAAAACATCCAGTTAAGGCAAGCCTTCTTATGACATTAAATGGCTGCGTGTAAAGTATCCCAATCAGCCTGCACTATTTTTGGGACATCAAGGTAACAACCCCCCCCCCCCCCGAAATCAGGCATATTTCCTGTTGGCAAAGAGAAATAACATACCTCTTGGATACAGGGCGGCGGTTTCCTCGAAGGGGGGACTACATAATTGATACACCTCAGGAGGCCTTTCAGGCTATAGAAGACACACGGGGTGCAAAATAACGCAATGCAGATTCCAGCGATAAGCCATTTGACGGGTATGGTTTCTAAAAATGAATAAATGATGCACAGAGTAAATACAGGTTTTGACACACAAACACGTTACTCGCGTGGCCAGCTCATGTGGAGGACTAGCCATGTGACAGTCCAGGTTAAGATCTAGTCAGTGATGTCCTTGAGAACATTTCTGATGACACCAGGTTGACACCAGCTGCAGGCAGTGTCACTTTGATTTAGACAGTGGCCTGGGAGCTGAACTCGGAGAGTAACAGTCGCACACAGGCCCCAACATGCAACAGATCCTCTACACTACTACAAAACAGAATTAGGAAAAATGTTAAGTTCCTCTGTGACTGAGTATCTACAGTGAGTCAATACAAGAATGAGACAAAGCCACTGCCTTATAAAAAACTGTGTGAACGAGTTGATTTCCACATAATTACACTAAAGACTATGTAAAATTTCTAAAAATGTAAGCCTTATTTAAGGCTGTTGAGCAACAATTAAAGGGAATTCATTATGTGGATACTGGATGACCTAGAAAGCAAAAAACTTTTAAAATGAGTTGAGCATTAAAAATATTTTTTAAAACCCAAAGGCAATTTCAGCTTGAAGATTTAAATTTTGATTCATGTAGTTCATTAAAACACTATATAATTATAGTAAAGAAGTATTTTATAATTTAAGTATTAAATTATTTTTATTAACTCATTACAATATAAAAATTAGATATGCGGAAAGACCCTGACCTGGTTTTGTTTCCTCACACACAATTTCACTGAAAACACTGCTTGTATTCCATTTTTCATCCTCAATAAGTGCTCTGGCTTTAATGCAATATACAGTCCGTGGTTCCACATTAGGAATAATAAAATCCGTTTTTGTTTGTATAGTTTTGATCTGTAAAAAATAAGTCATTGGTAAAACCTCACAAGTAAATAGAAATACTGTATCTATTTACTTCAGTATAAAATTGGTCTCTCTTCAATAGCTGCTATGTGCTCAATAAATACAGACTTGCTTTGGATTGCACATTATAACCAGGCCCCAAAGTTAAAAACGCTGCTGCCCACTAGCCTGTGGTCGATTCTTAAGACAACTCAAACTTAGCGGCGCCATGCTGGCTTGGTTCTAATGGTTACTGTATTACCTTGGTTAGTGGCAGAGCTGGAATTGCTTTGATTTTCCAACAGAAAATGAAAGAGTTACAGAATCCACCTGCCCACGTGCACAGAATTTTTAAAGGATGACTTCTGGACTATAGTTCTTTCCAGAGAGAAGTGATTTAGGAATGCCACAATTGAATGTTTGTTACAACTGTCAGTGGTTTTAAAATAAAAATTTTCTAGTTTCTCTCCACCATGAAACAGAATACTAAGGAATGTACTTTTGTTTTACAGAACCGATCTGTGATGGGCCACAAACCACTCTAATAGCTGATTCTCTTGTCCCCTGAGGGCCAACTTTTGTCCCCTGGGTGGTGCCGCCATCACAACAGAGAATGCATGACCGAGAAACACTGCCCTCCAGTCCGTTCCGACCCAGAGGGCCCTGAGACAACGTTTCTGCGTCTGCAGGTCTCTATGGGAGCAGACAACACATCTTTCTCCCCGTGGTTATAAGCCCAATGCTTCTCTGACAGCAGCACCACCACCAGAGCCCTCAAACAGAGGTGGCAGCACTGGGACTAAGGTCAGAGGCTCTCAATTGGAGGCAATTTCCCCCACGAGGGGCATTTAGGAACATTTAGAGCCAGTTTTGATGGTTACAACCAGTAGAGGGTGCTACTGGCCTGCAGAGGCCAGGGACGGAGAGACACTGGTTTAGAGGAACATCAGGAAATCAGGCGAGAGTGTAAATCCCTGAGCTCACCCCTAACCAGTAAAACCAAACTCACTGCCACTGAGGCAGCTCTGGCCCACAGTGACCCTGGAAGACAGTAGAACCGCCCTGGGCATTTCCGTACTGTAACAAGAGTAGAACACCTCATCTTTCTCCTGATGGTAGGCTGGTGGTTTCAAACTGCTGGCCTTGCAGTTAGCAGTCCAATGTGTAACCACTATGCAACCAGGGCTCCTGGCAAGGTCTACTCCAGGGCTTCTCATTCAATAGGAATGGGGCTCACAGAAAGCTGCACTGTCATGGCGCCAGGGTGCTGATGACTTACAGCTCCACCAGCCACACATGCAAAAAACAAAATAAAACCGGCAGTCCCCTAGACTACCTGGGTGACTTAAACGGAATACCTCATTTTAAAAAAGTTTTCACTATTACTGTCTTTTACTATGGGTATCTCTATAAACCATAACCTAGAACATCGGAGAATGACTCACCTCGGCAAATTATACACTGCCACGTACAACGCTGCTTGCTGCTATCTAGATCGCTCGTGTGAAGAGGCACAAAACAATGGTCGTGATATACTTGTGTTTAATACACACCATTTCATTAGGCCATAATCCAGACACCATGCAAGTCAATAGCTCAGTCATATCAAGGAGCGCTGCGCAACCACTACCACTATCAGTCTCACACCACTTGCTTCCTTCCTGTCCTCCTGGTTATCAGCTCCCCATTACCCCCAGCCTCACTGCCGTACTCCTCAGGAACCCTGAATCTAGTTATGGTCTTAGAGCGCGAAACGTACTGATCTTGTGATAAGCATTGGAGTTAATGACACAGTCTTTAAAAAAAATCTCTGCAAAATTATAACTTCAAGACCTGTTGATGCGTATCAGTTGGAACTTTTAAGTAACAAAGTTATACCATATAAGCTTTTTACCTGAGCATTGGAAGTGTTCTTCCACAAGTGAGCTTCATAAGTAAGTGGGTAATTTGGGTTCACAGACTTATTTTCTTTTGGAGCACCGATATAGACGTTCAGCGAGCCATTGATGGATTTCATACGAATGACGGGAGGAAGGACGACCGCTGGAGGAAACAACATGGAGACACAATGATCCACGTGGCTTAGAGGAGCACCTTTAAGAACCTAACGCTGGAAAGTAAAAGCAATTTGCTTACTTTGCGTATCAATGTAAAATTCTTTCTCTTCAGACCAGCGAGAAGTGCTATTTCCCTTAGATGCCTGCACCCGGAAAAAGTAAATTCCTTTCGGGAAAACATTTGGAGGAAAGACACACTGTGTGGTTTCCAGAGTTTCACAGCCAGGTATTGTTTTCCACTTATCTGAATGGTTCCCAGGAATTTTTTTTAAATATGCACTTTAAGACAAAATCATTTTGGAAAAGGTTAGCATATCAATCCAGTAAATACTTATGGGCCGCCTATCATCGGTTAGACACTCAGTTGGGGGCTAAGGCTACAGAAATCATCGGGTCCCCACCCCCAGGACACTCACAGACACATTTTCACCACACTTAAAAAAAAAAATGCATACAAAAATTTAAAAAGGGAAGAAAATGAGAAGACTAACTTTTAAAATTGAACAACAGATCTTTTCAAGGACTCATGGGAGGGATGGCTGAAGAAGAGACGGGGCTCAAGTCTTCCAGACTGGGGGGGTAACGCCTGCAACTTGAGTCAGGTCTTTTTAGGAGAGCTGTTTCGAGAGTGCTTCCACTTTGCAAAAAGTACAGGAACTGAGGCCCAGAAAGGCTGAGTGGCTAGCTCTGTGTCATCCAGCTAGTTTCTGGCAGCGTTGGGATGAAAATGCCTAAATCTCTAGGTGTCCATGCCTGTATCATGATCACCTCTTGGTGTGTCTCTCAATTCAGCACTCTGTGCCAGGCGATGCCAGTTGCCACAGTAGAGGAGATAGAAGCATGATCTTGTAAAAGATCATTCATGCGAAAGAAAATGTATGTAACAGAACTTACTGGAGCCACTGAACTTGAAAGGTCGTATTTTCATCTGCAGTATCCCATTTAAGACTACAGATCGACTTTTTTGAATCGACTTTTAGATTTTCTGGTGGAGGCAGTTTACTTTCAACTAGAAGCCAAAGGAGACACAAAAAGAGCACACACTTTTACTCCTGGTAAGATAACATATGGTAAGGATTCTTAGCAGCTGAGACCAAAGGACGGAAGATTTACAGTTTATCTTTTCAAGGTAACAATTACATAAGGTGTACATATCACACTGTAATACTATGCAGTTGTTTGAAAGAATGCTCCAGAGAGAGCTGTACATATTGACATAGATATCCTCACTAGGCAAAAAAATCAAATGGTAAATATGTCTATCATGATCCTATTTTTTATATCAGAGTAAGTAAAAAAGTATTGCTACAAAATCATTGAAAGCTTTATTAATCAACAATGTCAAAATGTCAACCTCTGTCTCTCAATATATCCTCCACAGAAGACGGATATATTTCCGTCTCTCTAACCCTTCCCTGAAGGACTCTACGCCCTTCGGGCTACACCCCGTTGAAACAGCCGGTTTGGGATCTGGAGGCACTGGAGTGGCGCTCCTTTAGAGAGGCTCCTGGAGTTAGAGCAACAAACAGGAGTGTGAAGGGCAAGAGGAGGGCTGCAGGGGCAGCGGGCACTTTCTCAGTGCGGTCCTCCGGGACAGCCCTCACTCCTGCCTTGAAGGGTGAGGAGGTGTGTGTCACGGTGGGAAATGTTCCTGGCACGACTCTCCCGCTCCTTTTCTCACCGGCGCTGTTTTCAGTTTTCTGAAGACCTTTTCCTAATAACCTCCCCGAGCCGCCTGTGCCTTTAGGGAAGACTATCAAGCCCGCCCCTCCCCACCACCTATCAGGACCTTCCAAGCTGACCTCTCTGCGTTGAACTGAACGGTCCCAGCAGATTCCCTCAGGAGCCACTGTTCTGTTTGGACCTCCTATTATTTTGTAACTCACCCTAATGAGACTAAGAAAAGTGCCCCACTAAGAGAACTTGTCTGCAGCCACCCACTGACTGCAGGCACGTTTCAGGATGTTGTGTGGGGAAGAAACCCGTGCGTGCATGAACTGCAACCTTAGCAGCAATACTTTTTGACTTACCCTCATAGAAGTCTGTGTCTGTATGGTTCTGTAGGTCCACGGGCATCTGCACAAGCGGCTAACAAAGCTTACCTCTTACAAGGCCGGCAGCAGAGGAAAACTTAGGTCCTTCAGTGCTGTTTGATTTTAAAACTAAGCACGTTCCATCGGCAGCTAAAAGAACAATTCCTAACACCCATTCTTTGCTGAGTTGGGACAGACTTGATGGCAGTGGTGGCTTCTTTTTCCCATCAAGAGACCTAGTCATGAAACTATTACCGTACGTACTCGAGTATAAGCTGAGTTTCTCAGCATATTTTTAATGCAGTTTTTGTGGTAAAATTAGGTGCCTCAGCTGATATTCGGGTCAGCTTACAATTGAGTATATACTGTAAATTTGGGGCTGCTGACCATAAAAGCTGGTGGTTCAGACCCAGCCAGGAGCTCTGCAGGACAAAGATCTGGCGAACTGCCATCCTGGACACCCTTTAGGACAGTGCTACTTGGTCACATGGGGTCACTGAGTCACAAATAGATTCAACAGTGCTGGATGACAACAGCAGTCTGACTTTAATGATCAGTCAGAAGACTCTAAGTATGTCACACACCACTATTCACCGTCATCTAGTTAAACCTGCCTCAGAGGTGCCCTGCAGGACAAGCTAACACTGCCCCCTTGGGTTTCTGAGGCGGGAACTCTGTCCGGGGGACCCGTGGTGGTTTCAAACTGGTGACCTTGCGGTGAGCGGCGTAACCACATGTCAGTATGCTTCCATCTTCTGACAGCACGGCTGTGACTCGGGGGGACCCTCTCGAGCAGAGGAGGACTGCCCCACAGGGTTTCCAAGGCCATCATCTTCACAAGAGCCTATCAGTCTTCTCTTCCACAGCTGCTGGGGGCTCAGGCGGCTGACCTTCTGACTAGCAGCTGGGTGCTAACCATTCTGTCGGAAGGGCTCAACCTAAGGGGCACTTTGTAGAAGGCTGACCGCTCTACTGGGAACAATTTTCCCCTTGGTGCGGACAGTGAGGAAATAAAACCAGCTTTTGTCCTGATAAAATATTTGTACTTTAAATAAAGTTCATTTTCATTGCCATTTACCATGGAAGAAGAATCCCAAATCATAGCACTTTTTTGCTTATGTAAGTGCCATTATAACCAGGGTTTTTATAAACCCTGTCCTATGGGGTCACGATGAGCCAGCATCGACTCGATGACAGTGTGAGTGTTTGAAGTAGAGAGCTGACGACACTTGTCTAAAGGTCAGGTGAAAGAAACGGGCTAGAGACAGGATTTGGGGAGTCAGCAATACACCATGTAAACGTCAGCAACTAAGGTGAAGGTGCCCAAATTAATATGTTGCCCATCCGTAAAATGCTTACTGTATGTAACACCCAGCTCCCTGCTTACCTGTGGTGCTGATACAATACACGGGACTGTACATGCCGTTCTTTCTCGGCACACGGAGGTATGCCTTCACTTGTAAACAGTAAGTAGTTTCAGGTGAGAGTTTATAAATTTTACTTCTGGGATAAACAGTCTCAATCCTTTTCTGCAAGATTTTAAAAAACAGTCTGTTTTTAAAGCAGTATAAAATCAAACTTTCGAATTAATTCACTTTGTTTTACTCTCATATTAAACAGAGGTTTAAAAAAAAAAAAAAGCTTACGTCTGCACCAGAGGAATTCGTCCAGATAACCAAGCGGTACTTGAAGCTCGAACTATCCATAGCCCACATGAGGCTCTCTTTTGTCCCAGGAGGCAAGATGCTAATTACGATGGCTTTATCTTCAGCTTCCAAATGCACTTTTGGAGGGCCAATCTGAGCTGTCAAAGTCAAAGCATAACTTCGTGAATAGCACGCCAAAACAACGATCTGACCCGGAGTTCCGGGGACCTAATACGTGACTGGCGGGTAAACGGGAAAAGTCCCTGCCTCATAGAGCTTACACTGCAGCAAGAGATAAGACAAAAGACAGAAAGACTCATGTGATATCATGTGTGTTATACAGAAAATGCAAATCATGCAAATGGAGAGAGAATGAGAGCAAGTACTAGTAAGGTGAGTTGCTCAGAAAAGCTTCTCGAAGCAAGTGAAGGTTGCACTGAGAACTGTATAAATTGAAGGAGCCAGTTATGCAAATGTCTAGGGAAACAAGTATTCTAGGCCAAGGGGCTATCCAGTGTAATCCCTGAGCTAGACTGACCAACGAGCAGTGAACAAGACTGAGTGGCTGAGTAGCAAGAGGCTGCCTAACAAGAGAAAGGGAGCCCTGGTGGAATAGTGGGTTACACATTGGGTGGCTAGCCCTAAGGTCAGCAGTTTGAAACCACCAGCTGCTCCTTAGGAGCAAGAGGAGGCTTTCTATTCATGTCAAGAATAAAGACTCTCAGAAACCCACAGGGGCAGTTGGTCCTATGGGGTCACGATGAGCCAGCATCGACTCGATGACAGTGAGTGAGTGTTTGAAGCAGAGAGCTGGCGACACTTGTCTAAAGGTCAGGTGAACGAAACGGGCTAGAGACAGGATTTTGGGAGTCAGCAATATACAGATGATATTTAAAGTCCTAAGATGACTAACAGAAATGTGCTCCCAGTTTTGGGGAAAAAAAGAAAAAGAAAAAGATGACTAACAGAGCAAATGCAGAAAAGGAACCAAAGAAGTCAAGAAGGGTGCCCTGGGTATGAGCAGAAACAGCCCACATGGGACTGGACAAGGGTGGCCAATGAGCAGGTGGTGAATCAGAACAGAGCAGTGTCCTAAAGGAGCAATGGAAGTGTCGCAAGACAAGAGAGTGACCACTCCATCTATACTGGGACCAAGGCAGACCCTGAAATTCACACATGGTGGCTGCCCATGACCCTGAAAAGTGTGAGTTTACCTTGGCCAGAGAAGGCTGAGAGGAAAGGACGTAGAGAAAGGGAACAGAGGGCAGGACTCCAACCAGTTCATTTCAATCACTCGCTGCTAATGAGCTGAGGTCAACTCACAGCGACCGGATAGGATAGGATGGAATTGTCCCTGTGGGTGTCCAAGACTGTTTAAGGGACTAGAAAGCCCTGTCTTTCTCCCTCGGAGCTGCTGGAGGTGTCAAACTGCTGACCTTGAGATTAGCAGCCCAACATGTAACACTACCCACGAGGTGCACCTAAAGACAGCCAGGGGGATCTCCCCAAATTGTGCATCCTGACTCCGTGTCCTGGGGTGGAAATGCAAGTGTCAGCCTGGGGTTCAAATCAGCATGAACGCATCGGAAGCCCCGGTCCAGTGAACTCTCTAAAGGAGTTTTGGCTGAGGGTGGTGGTTCTCAAACTGTCTACCCTCCAGATGTTTTAAAATATCACTGAGGCTCCTAAGAGCACTTGCCTACACAGAATGTCTTCTAACATTTAGCAAGAAAAGTGAATGAGAAATTTAAAATATATTAATTCATTAAAAAAGGAATAACAACAATAATAATATTCAATATAATAACAAAGGTTTGTGGGGGTAGGGAGGGGTGGGGCTTGGATAAAGGGGAGCTGGTTCCAAAGAGTGCAAGAAGAAAGAAAATGCTTTGAAAGTGATGGTGGCAGCAAGTGTACAATCATGCTTGATCTAATTGAACTATGGATTGTTATAATATCTGTGGAGCTCCCAATAAAATGGAAAAATACCCAAATAAACCAATGACAAACCCATATGTGGTAACACATAATTGTTACTAAAAATAGCCACATTTTCCAGAAAACAATCACCAGAACAGTAAAAGTAGCAGTAGTTTACATTTTTTCCACTTCTCTTTAACGTCCGACTTAATAGAAGAGCACTGGGGTTTCACATCCCCTTCCCTATTCAGCCAGCCACCTTACAGACCCACTGTGCGAGCAGAAGGGAAAGGCAGATCGGGGTGAAAGTGCCGGGAAAGGAGTTTTGACCTTAAGAGACGCCCGCCCGCAGGGAATCCCCGAGGCCCCGCGAGGTCCTCAGATGGCCCTCTGTGAAACAAAGATAAAGGGGGTACAGCAGACAGCCATCAACTTCTTTTTGCCAACGCATGTAAATGAATGCCTTTGGGAAAGAGCCGGTTCTATTAGCACTCAATAAAGAACTACATAGTAGGGGGCTAGCAGGTTTTTCTTACCTTTTTGAAATGGGACAAATGATTCAACTTCTTGCCACGGAGAAGTTTCATTTCCCTTTTCTGCTCTTATACGTAATGTAACTTGTTCAAACACATCTAGCTCGTCTGAAGAAAAGTCGCATCTGGTACCAGTAATAGACTGACACCCAGGCAAGTTTATCCAATTATCCATTCCAGACCTGTAAAAGACAAAACTAATGAGTAAATGAGCAAGTGAACACATGCAACATTATCACATGGGTTTCCACTTCCTAACACATACATCTGGTTTCAAGTAAGTATTTCTTCCACTTGAAGCTAACGTCTTGATGATGTTTTAGTTTACATGTAGCCTTTCAGTCTTTAGTGCAGCTACATCATTTCGTTCTTTTTTATAAAAAGGAATAATTCAACATATACATTTTTTTAGTTCTATATAGAATTTTAAGGAGCCCTGGTAACACTGTTGTTTTAAGCAATGGGCTGCTAACCACAAGGTTGGGAGTTCAAAGATGCCAGCTGCTCCCTGAGAAAAACATGAGGCTGTCTGTTCCTGTAGGGGAGTTCAGCTTGTGTAGTGGTAACCCCAAGGTCAGAAGTTTGAAACTACCAGCTTGTTCTGTGGGAGAAAGATGAGGCTGTCTACCCCCATAGAGAGGTAGCCTCAGAAATCCACAGGAGCAGTTCCACCCCGTCCTGTAGAGTTGCTGTGCGTCAGAAACCACTTGATGGCAGTGAGTTTGGCTTGGTCTGCTCCTGTGAAGACTTGGTCTTGGAGACCCTATAGAGGGTTGGTTTGAATTGGAATCCTGGTGGCAGTGGTATGTTTTGGGGTTTGCATATAATTTTGTGAGTGCATGCATTAGGATCCCAAGGAAGAGAAGAAATGAACCATAAAGGAGAAGTGCATTTAGGGTTGTCAATTACTCTTGTGCTTCTGGTCCTTAGCTTACTGAGAATTTGAGAGCTGGGTTTGATGGATCCCTCTGTCTTCATGTGAATAGATCACCTGTCCTGCGGATCACCTCAAAATCAGCATGACTTCAGAAATCCCTTTGCCCTCCCCCAAACCAAGCCCGTCCTTCTGCTGGATCTCTATCATTCCTTCTACTTCACCCATAGAAACAAAAATTTAAAATGTGAATATAAACTAATAGATTCTTCCACTAGAACTGGCCAAGCAGAATGTTAAATGATAGTTATTAGTATCTTCTTTTTTCAAGAGGGAAACTGATGAAGAAATTAAGTTGCCCTGTTCAGGGGACAAATGTATTCCATTGTCTCCACAAACTTGTAGAGTGGCACAATTTTGCAAAGCAATGGTCTATATAGCTGGCAGAATAAAGCAGGTGAAGAACACAATGAAATTATGGATGTGATATTTCAGGTCAGACTGGACAGGTAATAGATGATAGGACTAGAATATTTAGTAGAAGCAGTAACTTGTGAAGGAACAGGAGTTAGAGAGCTGTGAACTAACGGCACTGGAGCCAAACTCATCAATCAAGTCACAGCTGGATGACACCCCCGTGGGGGTGTGGGCCTTTTGTATGAGAGTGAGGGGCTCTAGGACTGCCTCTCTTTGCCCCTTGGCCTTCCTCATCCCTGAGACTCTGCGTTGCCTCCAGGGTGGCCAGTGTGGGCCATCGGATCTTGAGAGCTGTCAGTTGCCCTGTCATGTTCCCACCCATCTTGGGTCTGCATTCCATATCACCTTTTGGAATCATCGCAGCAGCTGCCAATCGTGTTGAATCTGAAGAGGGACTTGTGGACTAGCATCGGACTTAAGAACTTAAGTTGGACTGAGCTGGGATGCCTTCTCGAGATATAATTACCTCTTAATGTTAAGTTCTGTCTAATACATAGATGAGCGTTACTGGATTTGTATCTCGAGAAAACCCGACCTAACACACACACTGTCTCCCATTTTCATTCCTAAGTCTTGTTTACATCAATGCCCAACAATGAATTTGACTTCGAGTCTCTGTATTTTCAGTGGAATCCAAACTTTTTGGAGTCATTGAGACTAGATGAATCCCTGAAACTATTGTGCTGAAATAATCTTTACACCCCATTAAGTATTCCTTAAACCAAAACGCCAGTTTGGCTTCCGTAGTACAGTCTGTCTGGTCTGTTAGGGTATGACCTATGTGAAGTGAAGGTGACACGCAACTGGAGAGCCGTGTCAGACGAGCGGCTCATGACCCAGTGAGCTCGTGCTACTGCGGTGAAATGCTCTGGAAGCCCTGCACGACGGGTGGCTGCACAACGTGAAGAAGGCCATCAGGGTCACTGACTCAGACACAGAAAATGGGTGGAAAGGGGGCCTCTTTTGCTGTGCTTCTCCCCCACCCCACCCCTGCTCACCAAAACACCAAACACAGTGTCTGAGAAGAAAAAACCAAAACACCCGATTTGTAGAAATGAAGTCATAAGTATTACGGAAATGAGACATACATTTTTCAAAAATGAAATATTTCCTAAACCTGAGAACAAAACCATGGTGTTGGAATTAGAAAACTGATTCAGTGAATTCTGTCTGGAAAGTCCGAGAGGAGAGCCACGCACATTTGGTACTCAGCTGAAAAAGTCACGTTCCCAACAGAGTCATCGCTCCGACTCCACTTCAGGGTAAAAGTGTCATCTATAATGTGCACCTCCACGTTTTCTGGAGACTGGAGAGTATTTCCACCTATAAAAGCAAAAATAGAAGTAATTAATATGCACTGTGCAGCCATGTTCTAAAAATGATCCTTTCCATCACTTATTAGAAAATAAATGTTTAAATGTAACAAAATATAGATTTAAAAAATCTAATGACTGCTCTCAGCACAGGGAAAAAATTTACTATATATACTTGTGAAAGCCGAGTTTTTCAGCACATGTTTAATGCCATTTTTGTGGTAAAATTGGGTGCCTCGGCTGACATTTGGGTTGGCTTACACTTGTGTATATACGTTATTTCCATTCCTCCATCTCACAGAGCTGGAAAAAAGGCTGGCTTTTCATCTGTAAAAAGACTTTTCTTCTTTTTAAAAAGCCTCTGTGCGAGGGTAAGTCAAAATGTATTGCTACAAGAGCACGCTGTTGTTGCTTGGTGCCGGCGAGTCGTTCCCACTCACAGCGACCTCATGTACAGCAGAAGGGAACAATGTCAGGTCCTGCACCATGGTCACAATGGTGATGTTTGAGCCTCCCAAGGCAGCCACTATGTCACTCCGTCTTACTGCTGAGGGTCTTCCTCTTCTCTGCTGCTCTTTACCAAGCATGACATCATTTTTCAGGGACTGGTGTTTCCTAAAGGAGCCCTGGTCTAGTGGTTACAGGTTGCGCTGTGAACCTCAAGGTTAGCAGTTCAAAGCTGCCATCCGCTCCTCAGGAGCTTTCTACTTCCATAAAGAGTGAGAGCTTCAGAAATCCACAGGGGCAGTTCACGCTGTCCTCGAGGCTGCCCCAAGTCAGAGTTGAACCGATGGCAGTGAGTTTGGTCTCTCCTAATAACACAGAAACCTTTATTAAACAAAAATATCAAAATGTAAAGCTCTTGTTTCTCAACATGCTCTCCATCTAAGTTTATACACTTCTGAAAGTAGAGTTTCCACCTCTCTAAACCTTCTCTGAAGAATCGGGTGCTCTTCAATGTATGCTACAGCAAACGGAGCTTTGGCCTCCTCCAAGAGACTCAACTTGAAAAAAATAAGAGAGGGCGGGGGTGGGGTGGGGTGGGGTGGGGGTGGGGTGGGGGTGGGGGGTGAGGAGGAGAGGCTTAAATTGTGTTCATTTGAAGTGGTCTATGAGTTTGGGAAACACAATGTCAGAAAGGGCAAGACTGAGGCTGTAGGTTGGATGGGGTAAGTTTCCCAAAAGCATTCTCATAGGACAGCTACCCTTCAAGAATGAGCAAGTGCACTGGAGGGTGGGAAAAAATTATTTGGATAAACTTTCCTGCCTTTTTCTCACCAATGCAGTTTTCAATTTTCTTAAAACTTCTTCCTTTTGAGCCCCCGAGATCATCCTGACCCCTGACCCCCACCCCCCACCCCAAAATAAGCCCCACAGGAATTACCAAAAAATGGTTACTTTTTGAGGCTGACGTCTCTGCCTTGAATTGAAATGGCCCAGCAGATTACCTCAGTCACTGTGCTGACTGGATCTTGCTCTCTGGCTCCTATTGGTCAATCTAAGATTCATCCCCAATGACAATTTGTTTCTTAGAACTGTCATTAGTTTCTATCATGCTTAAAAGATGACTGGAAAGATCAGCTCTCTGAGAGCTGATTTTCACTCAATGAATGACTTTGGCACCCATTCAACTGGAAGCTTGCTGAGGCCAAGATGTGAGCTTAAAATTGAAAATGCTGAACCCCGCAAGAGCCTGACTTCAACAGTTATTGTATCAATGATAATCCTATCATCTTCTGTCACCTGTCTCTGGACTTCAGCCAGTTTCTCCATTTTTTGAGGGTGTGTTAGTCTGGGTTGACTAGAAAACCAAATCCAGAGGCACTCATATGCATAAAAGAAAGAAGTTCATATACAAGAGCAATTGAATATTGAGAAAACATCCAGCCCAGTCCAGATCAAGTCCATAAGTCTGATATTAGCCCATATGTCTGATATCAATCTATAAATTCCTCTTCAGACTCACGAAACACATGCAATGATGCCGAATGCAGGAAGATCTTGGGCAGGTGGGTATAAAGTCTGTGGACCCAGTGGCAGTGAAGGCATCTCAGCTAAGGCAGGGGTCTCCACATGGCTCCTTTAGCTCCAGGGCTTTAGTATAGATCCAGGTGTCTTCTCAACAGAAATGTCTTCCAGGGAGTGTGCACGTGTCCCGCCTCCAGCAAGCTATTTATCTTCTTAGCGCCTCCAAAAGAGGTCATCAAGCTGTGACCTGATTGACAGACTAAACTCCACTCCTTCACTCTTAAGTCTCAAGTTGACAACAGATTATGTAACTGCCACAGAGCATGACAGTTTCCTTCTCTTGGCTCACACTTGAAGTCTTCCTGATCTTCCTTAAAACACTTGGACCATCTAGAAAGTTTTATATGTGGATTCTCATAAACATGTTCCAAGGCATCAGTGATTTGGAAAGGTGTCCACTTGAGTTTGTTAAAAATTCGATAGTAGCCCTGACCTCAAAACTGCAGGAAAAGTGCAATGGCACAAAATGTATCCCTTTTTTCTAAAGGCACCCAAGCACACTGCTGAGAGAACTTGTCTGCAGGCATTCACTGATCAGAGTTATGTTTAAACATGCTTTGTTTAAATAAACCTGTGCGTGTTTATTTCCTGGAACCCTACTGGCAATACTCGTGGGCTTATCCTCATACAGAAGTAGAGTTTTCCTTTGGTCTTTGAAGTGCTGCTAATGTAAAGGGCACAGGAGTCACCAGTCTCAATGTGTTTCATACCTGTTATGTTCAGAAACAAAGGCTTCACCCAAAAGACAAAAAGTCAAACTCACTGTCATTGAGTTGATGCCGACTCAATGGAACTATAGGGCAGAGTAGAACCATTCTCGTGGGTTTGAGACTTTTAAATCTTTACAGGTAGACAGTCTCATCTTTCTTCTGTGGGTTTACAGTTCAATGAGTAACCCACTATGCCATCAGGGTACCTAGAAGCCTTCATACACCTTGATATAGAACTGAACAGAGTTGTCAGCTATTCATAGGAGCTGGATGGTTATAAAATAGATAGACATGTACACACTAATCACATCGGTCAGGCTTTTCAGGGATTTTTTCTTGGTCTGGATCGTTGTAGACTTCCAGTTCTTTGGCCTGCCTTATTGCCTGTGGACCACAGGAACCATCAGCAGCCTGCCAACTGTGGATCCATTTGCCTCTGCAACCAGAAACCTGTTGCTTTAGGGTTCATTAGCAATATTCTGACCCATGGACTTGGGACCTGCCCACCTCTATAACTCTCTGAGCCATTTTCTTGATATGTCTCTCTACACCCTGATTTTGCATCTCTAGAGACCCAGCCTAAGAATTTCTCCTGTACTTGAGTTATGGACACTATGTTATGCGGTCAAAAAGGGAGGCATCTGGAAAAAAATTTCTGTACTTATTTTATTTTTTTAATATGGGGAAGTAACCATCCATTCTTTCTACCTTGATTTTTGCTTCAAAGTACCAGAGACTTCATCCCTGAACAGAAAAAATACACTCCCTTTCTCCACTCTTCTAAATTTGATCCTTATTCCATTTGTTGAGATGCAGCCAAAGGGAAGAAACCAGGTTTAAGGAATTGGCAGAAGATATCCAAACCCCAACCAAACCCATGGCCATGAGTTGATTGTGACTCATCACATCCCTACATAGGGTTTCTGAAGCTGTAAGTCTTTACAGGAGCAGACAGGCTGTGACCCTTCTCCCTCAGAGTGATTAGTGGATTTGAAATCACTGATCTTGTGATGAGCAGTTCAGGGCTTAACTGACAGTGTTGCCAAGGCTCTTTAAATCATTTCCAGAACATTCTAATTCTAGTAGTCCCAGGCCTTGGGAGAGGAGAAGGAAATCTCAGGGAGGTATAGCCCCGATATCCTCAGGGAAGTAATTGGTTTACTGTGAAAGGGGAGAGACCCTGAAGTAAGAGTTGTGGGCAGCCCTGTTAGCCCAGTGATTAAAAGTGTTTAGTTGCTAAGCAATAGCAATGGGTTTGTTGTCATTGAGAGACCAATTAATAAATGTTTAATAAAACTGACCATTATAACAAACCTACTGCCATTGTATTGATCCCAACTCACAGTAACCCTATATAGGGTTCCTGAGACTGTCTATCTTGACAGAAATACACAGCCTCATTTTTGCCTCACAGACTGGCTGGTGGGTTTGATCCACCGCTCCCCTTAACACACAGAGACTCAGAAAAAGAGCTATTAAGCAGGATTGTAGTTTCCATATATTTGATCTAGTAGTACTAGCAACCTCCTTTTAATTATAGTTCATTTCACCCTTGTAGTATAAATGGGCATTTAATCCAATAATTACATACAATTATATATATTGTACAATATATGATGATATAGTATATAATTATTAGATTGATGTATATTCATATTGATGATCAGATATGGTTTATCATATTGCAAGCCTGACACATACAAAGATATTCATATAAATTTCCTAACACGTTTTTTTTTTTAGCCCCTTAGGGTAAGGTCCCGGAATTACATACACTAGGTTAAAAAGTAAGAATATTTTTTATGACTAGAAAGAGCAACACTATGACTTCAAGTTCAGGTGATCACATCCAGGTTCATACTGCATTTACCGTAGTTCTCAGTAACATGATTCTATCCCTAGTGTTTGATTTCTCACTCTGCCAGTGGCTAGCTGTAGGATCTTCAACTCAAAACTCAAACTCATTGCCATCAAATCAATTGCGACTCACAGAGACCCCAGGGGGCAGGGGACAACTATCCCTATGGATTTTCCAGGCTGTCAATCTTTATGGGAGCAGAAAGTGTCATTTTTCTCCCAAGGAGCTCCTTGGGGTTTTGAACTGCTAACTTTACAGTTAATGGCCCCATGGCACGTTACTCAATCTCCGCGTCTCCCTCATTTGGAAAATGTGGGTAAACAGGGCGTAGGGCTGCTCTGAGGACTAAATGGGCACGTACATTTAAGATACATAGCACAGTGCCTGGCACACAAAGAAGAGCTCAGTAAATGTTAGCTACATATGAATTACAGTTTAGTAGCTCTCCCCATGGCCTAGAATAAAATTAGTTTCTTAATGTACATCCTCCGAGAATGTCAAATTTGACATGAAAATTCTGGGGAAATTATTTTTATATATTAAAAAAATGATTTTCCCCCCACTAACAAGACTTTATATTGTACTTGTAGAAGCATTTGAGAAGCAGGATGTACTGTAGTAACCCAACTTAGCATGAGGAACTCCATTTCATTTTAAACTGCCTTCAACCCCCTGCTAGCAGCTAGAACCCTTTCTCCTTCCTCCCCCTCCCCGCTCTCTTGACAGACCTTGCCTCTCCTGAGATGTCTCTGGACCTGCCTGAAATATTATCTATCCTGTCGGACCTGCATCTGTGCTGCTCGCCCCAGTCCCCCCTACCCTGCTTGAATATCCCTACTTTGAATGATAAAAATCCTGTACTTTCTTTGTCCTGGGTTGAGAGTTTTCCAGGCTCTCGCCTACTCTCAAACCAGTTGTTAACAATGGCTTTAATTCTTAATAAAGTTGTGTGGTTGATCATGCCTGACACAATAGTAGCATATCCATAACCAACCAATCAGTTGCCTGGATTCCAGTCGGGTGGATTCCAATTCCTGACAATCCCTAACTGCAGAATACAATTGTGCTTCGTAGGATTTTCATGGCTATAAAGCAGATCACCAGCCCTTTCTTCTGCGGTACCTCTGGGTGTGTTCAAATAGCCACAGACTTTTTTGGTTAGAAGTTGAGCTTTAACTGTTGGCGCCACTAAGCGATTCTTGCTGTATCTTAAAGGGGAGGGCGGGGGCGGGACCGCTCCTCTTCTAAACGAACACTTCCTAAGTATCTGGACTCCACTTGACGACCCAGAGAAGCCTTTTGGGTTAAAGCGCTCCACTGTTAACTGAGAGGTTGGTGGCTGAACTCATCTGTTTTCTAGGAAAATATAACAATCTCATTCCCCACCCCCAAAAACAAACCGAGAGGTTTGGCAACACATTAAGAAATTTGGCAAACTAGCTTCGGTGGCTCCGATTCATTTGTATTTTGTGCATTTCTCTTCCATTACAGTTTGGTAAATAGTACGAAGCCGGAGGGCAGAGAAATCCTTGCTACATTAGCTCCACTCCCACTTTGGACTGAGTCACTGTTTACTAAATTGAAGAAATGCGTTTTAGGAGCGGTTACCATTGCTTGTGGCTAAAGGCTTGCTTATTAAACGGGCTCGCCAAGCAGTGGGGTTTGCTAATCAGATAAACTTGACATCAGGCTCCCCCAGTTTCAGTAGCGGAAACCGGGCGCTGCCCGGGGGTTTTGCGCAGGGGCAGCCACCACTGATTCCCCAACAGCGGATCCGAGTGTCCACTTTCTCCAGTGTGACTTTCTAGCCCTAAATTAATCTCCGTATGACCGCGACGGCGAAGGACCGAACGAGTGCCTCACCGAGGACCAGAGATTTCCCGGAGATGTCAGTCCCCTCCACATCTAAACCTCCCCAGCGCCCCGGCTTTCGGCGCTGCCGCCAAAGCCCAGCCTGCTGTATGTACCTCACCTGCGGCTGCAGGCGACACCCAGGGTGCCCCGGCGACCAGCATGAGGGCCGCGGCGTCCAGGAGAGCCAGCATAGTCCGCTGATGGCCGCCAGCCTCGCCCGTCACGTCCTTCACCCACCGCTCCTTCTGAAGCCACCTCCGACACTCCAGGAGGCGCTGCTGCCCCGGAAGGAAACCTCGGCGTGCGCGCCGCGCCTCCGCGCACGCGCCGCCGCCCTGGGAGCGTAGCGACCCGTTTACGTCGGCAGCAGGGGATCGGTATGTTGTGCGCGTGCGTGGGGGCGTGCGTGCGTAGGCGCACCTTCCGGTCAGTGACTGCTCTCTCCTGGCTCCTGGGTGAACTCCCTGCTGCCGTCCTTGACCCTCGCAGAAATTCCGCGCTGTGCTAATAAGGTTGGCCTCTGGGCCGCAGAGTACTCCAGAGGAGCCCCCCCCCTTGCGCTGATGGCAGCCCGGGGCCGCTAGTGGGCGCCCCGAGTCCCGCCCCCGCCCTCCCCGGGCCGTTTCATTCCTGGCGGCGTTGTGAGCGCTGGCTGGGATTTGTGGAGTCTACGCTTGGAACGCTCGTTTTCAAGGCCCGGGGCGGGAGGACCAACGGACGGACGGGCGTGAATGCCCTTCATATAGATATTTCACTTTTAAATGGACAACACTTGATGAACACAAGGCTTTTCAAGGTCGTACTCCATCATAAAGTAATGCCCCCCCGCAAATGTATTGTTCAATGAAATCTCCCACAGATGAGACAGTCCGTTGCACTCTGGAGACATAGATGTCAAGGTATTTGCTGCATTGTCTGCCCATAGGGGTGATGTGTGTGCGCTCTGACTGCCAGCCCCCTCAAGTCCAGTGTTACGGAGTCGTGCCCAACAAGAACCACTGACCACAAACCTGTAAAAGCTAAGAGTAAGTTTATTAGAGAAAAGACAAAGGTTAGAGAAGAGCAAATTTAACAGGTAAAAGAGAAAGACAGAAACAGACAAGTTCGAACTCGGACTACAGCCTGACCACGCAGGATCAAGACTGCAGTGCCAGGCAAAACTTTCTCCTTCTCTTTATACACTTCAAACCAGCAAAGCGAGGGCGGTAGAGCATGGGGTGGTGAAGGACGTTTGCACAAGATACCAAGATGCGGGCAGTCTGCAAGGTCACAGTTGTTTACTTTTACAACTTATTTCTCGTCTGCTAGAGATAACATAGTTTTACTTTTACGACTTATTTTTCTAAAAACATTCTCTTCTTAGAGCCGGTCCGGCCTATAATCTTTTTCGGCCACAGATGTTCCTCTGGTGACAGTTTAACCACTTATGTGCACAATTATCTTGCCCAGTCATTCTGACCTGCAAAACTCAGTGGAAAGAGAACTAAAATGGCTGTAAGGGAAAATGGAGTTAGATAGGGATAAAAGAAATTTAAGTCTAACAACATATACTGTAACATCCAGCAGCTCGGCCATCCTCACAGTTGCCGTGGAGTGTATTGTGCGCCTTCCCACCTAGGGGCTCCTCTTCCACTACCGTTTATCACATTCTCTTGTGAGCCACAAGATTTTCCTGGACTCTTGTTTTCCCAGAATGCCAGGCCTTCTTTTCTTCCTAGTCGGTCTCAGTTTAGAAGTAGATTTCCAAGCTTTTTTCTTCCTACTTCAGAAGCACAATTGAAACCGGTCCACCCTGAGACCCTGCTGGTGTTTGAAATGCCAATGGCATACTTTCCATTGCCATAGCAATACCCAAGCCACCACAGGAGACAAACTCACGGTTGGTGGTGGTGGTGGTGAAGAAAATTAATTTTCCGTGTGTGGGTGCTAGCTACTAGCTACTACTAGCTACTAGCTCTGTAACCAAACTCAGACCCTCATCTCCCCCTGCCTTGAGACAAAATTAATTTGTCAGACGTTATGCTTAACAGTTTTTCCATAAAACACTTGTAAATCTTAAAATTTGAGGTAATTCCAGATTTTTAGAAAAAGTTGCAAGAATATTGAGAACTCTGTATAGCCTTTGCTGAAATTCACCAGATTGCTCATCTTTTGTTACATTTGCACAGTTGCTCATTTGCTCTTTCTATATAGATACTTAGATTTATAGAGAGATAATCTATATGAAAGGGCTTCCGAAACTTAATGGAAATTTTACTTCTCTTTCAATTCAATTTTTCCACAAACTTTTGGAAGCCCCCACACACACCTATATTCCCTACTCCCCAGCTTGTTTAATTTTCTTCAATCTGACACATTTGAGGGTTAGGGGGATACTGCTCAATTACTTTATCTTCACCTTCTCAATGTGGACTTGTCTAATGTTTCCTGGCGATTAGATTCAGATTATGCATTCAGATTATAATCCCAGATTATGCTATGTAAAGCAAGTGGTGTCCTCAGGTATCCGATCTGGAGATAGAGTATTTATAAGTCCCTTCGTGGTGATGTTAATTTTTGATCACATGGTCTTCACTTCTGATTCATAGAAACTCTGTGGGTTTCAGAGGTTGAATATCTTTACAGGAGCAGAAGGCTTCCTCTTTCTCTAGTGCAGCGGTTCTCAACCTGTGGGTCGCGACCCTTTCATAGGGGTCGCCCTGTTCCTAGCAGTAGCAAAATGACAGTGATGAAGTACCAATGAAAATAATTTTATGGTTGGTGGGGGTCACCACACGAGGAACCGTATGAAAGGGCCACGGCATGAGGAAGGTTGAGAACCACTGCTCTAGTGGAAGAGTGGGTGCATTGGAATTGCCAGCCTTGATGTTAACAGCCCACCTCTTAACCCACTACCACCCCCTTTGCACTGTAGTGCTTGCTCATCCATGGCCCTAAAGTTGATTCCGACTCAGTGATTGTAACTCTTTTTTTTCTTTCTTTCTCTCTTTTTTTAATTAAAAGATCATTTTTACTGGGGTCTCTTAAAGCTCTTTTAACAATCCATACCTCCATTGTATCCAGCATATTTATACATTGTTGCCATCATTTTCTAAACATTTACTTTCTATTTGAGCCCTTGGTATCAGCTCCTCCGCCCCCCTTCCCCTCTCCTACCCTCATGACCCCTTGATAAATTATTATTTTCTTTTTTTTTTCCTCTTTTTTATCAGTGAGGCAGTGAGAGAGTGAGTCAGTGAGAGAGAGAGAGTGAGGCAGTGAGAGAGTGAGGCAGTGAGAGAGTGAGACAGTGAGTGAGTGAGGCAGTGAGAGAGTCGATAAATTATTATTTTCATATCTTACACCGACCTTGGTGTCCCCCCATGGTTTCTGTTGTTTGTCTCCAGGTTGGGGGGGATGTTAACGCTTTATGGGAGTAGAAAACCTTTTCTTTCTCCCATAGAACAGCTGGTGGTTTCTAACTGTTGACCTGTGGTTAGTAGCCAACACATAACCCACTACGTTACCAGGGCTCCTGGTGCCTAAAAAGGACTGAATCATAGCGACCTCCTGTACAACTGGATGAAGCAGCCAGCTCCTGCCCCAGCCTCACACTGTGTATGAAAGTAGGATGCTGGGGATCCCCTGGCCAGCCCAAGGAGGGCAGGCTCACCATCAGGGACTTGGCTGGGTGTGCCCTTGATGGAAATTGGGGTACTAGGGCTGCATGGTCTTGAGTCATGTCCCAACAAAGGTGGCCAGAGGGAGGGCCCTGAACCACTCTTGTAATTTCTCCCATCTGTTATCCTGTATGTATCCCAATCATGGTCTCTTTCCTGCTTCTGTAGGCCCGCCCCCAACTGTGATGAACTGATCTACTGCCATTTATAGTTCTGTGCCTGTTTCCTTTGCTCTCCATCTGCAAGGCCCGAGTCTCTATGAGTCCTTGGATGCAGCAGGGCCCTGTGCGGAGAGTTTCCCTCACCTGGATGAGTTCTCTCCAAGGGGCCCGGTGCCTTTTACTGGAAACTGTTATTTAGAAACCGATCTGAGCTCTGAAAATGTTTCACTTTAAGCTGAAGAAGTCTTATTATTGTTCTGTTTAAGACTTAGTAACTGTATATCTATAAATTATATTTGGATTTGGGTTCTCTTTTCTCCCTTAAAGGAGCCCTAGTGGCACTGTAAACTAAGATTTAGCTTGCTAGTCACAAGGTCAGCAGTTCACACCCACTGGTTGCTCCAAGGGAGAAAGATGAGGCTGTCTGCTCTGGTAAAGATTAACAGTCTCAGAAACCTTATATCAGGCTACTTTGAGTTAGAATCTAGTCACAGGCAGTGGGATTGGTTTCCTTTCTGAGGATGCTTCCCACAATGAAGTTTAATTCTTATTTATTTATTTAAAAATCATTTTATTGGGGGCTCATACAACTCTTATCACAATCCATTTATCTATCCACTGTGTCAAGCACATTTGTACATTTGTTGTCATCATCATTCTCAAAACATTTACTTTCCACTTGAGCCCTTGGTATCAGCTTCTCATTTTCCCCCTCCCTCCCCATCCTCTCTCCCTCAAGAACCCTTGATAATTTATAAATGATTATTTTGTCATGTCTTACACTGTCCAATGTCTCCCCCCACTTTTCTGTTGTCCATCCCCCAGGGAGAAGGTTATATGTAGATCCATGTAATCAGTTCTGCCTTTCTATTCCACCTTCCCCTTCCCCTCCTGGTATCACTACTCTCATTATTGGTCCTGAGGGATTTATCTGTCCTGGATTCCCTGTGTTTCTGGTTCTTATCTGTACCAGTGTACATCCTCTGGTCTAACCGGATTTGTAAGGTAAAATTCAGGTCATGATAATGGTGGGGGGCAGGGGTGGAAGCATTAAAGAATTAGAGGAAAGTTGTATGTTTCATCGTTGCTATTCTGCACCCTGACTGGCTCGTCTCCTCCCTTTGACCCTTCCATAAGGGGATGTCCAGTTGCCTGCAGATGGGCTTTGGGTCACCACTCCCATTTCATTTTTGGTTCTTTGATACCTGATCCTATCGACACCTCGTGACCATACAGGCTGGTGTGTTTCTTCCATGTGGGCTTTGTTGCTTCTTAGCTAGATGATCACTTGTTTACCTTCAAGCCTTAAGGACCCCAGATGCTGTATCTTTTGATAGCCAAGCACCGTCAGCTTTCTTCACCACATTTGCTTATGCACCTGCATTGTCTTCAGCGATCATGT